TTCCTCTGTTTCAGCTTGGTGTTCAGTTGTTTGTGTGTTTCTTTATGCTTTTTTGTGTACGTTTCCTGCTGGGTCATGACCAGATCAGTGGTGTTTTGATTAAATAGGTGCCTCACAATCAGGTTGGCCGGTAATTTTAGCAAGGGATTGTCGTCTCAAGCTCAGAGATGTTCATGACCCACGCTGCTTGCTTCACTCTTTCCTGTTTTTTCAGTCTCATTTCTTCTGATTTCTCCCTGCCAGTGGAAAGTCAGTAAGTGGTGGAGGTTGGAAAGTGAGAGAGCAAGGAAGGATGAAACTGAAAATTATTTGCTTGGGGAAACCAATTAATTCAATGGCTTGTAATTGTCCTGCACCTAATCATTGACTCTGGAGAGGAACCGTCATGTTGCATTTTAAACGGTGTACAAATGTGTTAAAACTTTCTGTTGTGTTTTTCTTTTCTCTTTCATCAACAGTGGATGTATATTGTCCCTCTCGTTCTTTTCCTGATGATGTCTGGAGCTCAGGATCAGTCTGGAGGCGGAGCTGGAGGTGGGGCGGCCAATGGCGGAGGACGATGATTCCCATGGCAACAAAGACTCCTATGTTGTACATAATAATTTAAAGCAGATTTTGAGTTCAATGACATGCATAATGACACATACATTTACAAACGAAGGATCGTTCTAGAGAGATAATGATTGAAAAACTTAACTTATAACTGCATTGTTGGATTGCGTTTTTACTACTGATTTAATAAAATAATTTGCTGACCGTTGAAGTTGTCAGCATAGTTATTTACTACAAGTCATGCCATTCATAAATAATACAGGCATTTTGAAACCGGTGATCAGTGGATGATGGAGAGCTTTAAAAGTTCATCTCTTCATTCTCTTACTGTATATGTAGCTCTTAGACTTGTTTCTTGGCCCAGTGCCATTTGAGCTAGTTTGTTTTGAATCATGTTGATGCTGGTAATACCACTCCTCTCTGCACCTTGATGCCATAAATAACTAGTCATCTACTAGTTATGACAAATATCTCTTCATCATGGTTATGGTATAAGCTCAATACTAAACTAATATAAACTACTGAAAATTCAGTCATTAGCTTTGCAAAATCAAGCAGCAAAACAAGCTGTTTTGTACAGCTAAAAAGCCAGTGGAAGCCAATGACACAGGAAGCCAGACCCATAAAAAGTACATATTACTGCATCTGCTCTTACAGTGAAAATAAGGTGGATACTGCTTTTTAAATACTTCTGATTGCCTGAGACTGATGTATGGAGCTTGACATTTTATTTTAAATAAATAAACTTTGAAAGTGAAGTTACAATTTATATTAGGCCTATAATTACAAAGTTTGGGGTCAGTAAGATTTTTTTTAAAGAAATGAATACTTCAATACTTAATACTATTCAGCAAGGATGCATTGCATTGATCAAAAGTGACAGCTTATTTTGTTGCAAAAGATTTCTATTTCATAAATGCTGGTTATTTGAACTTTGTTTTTATCAAAGAATCTTAGAAACAATGCATTACTCTTTCCACACAAAAAAAAATGAGCGGCACAACTTTTTTCAACTGTTTTTTGAGCAGCAAATCATCAGCATATTAGTATGATTTCTGAAGGATCATGTGGCACTGAAGAGTGCAGTATCAGTATCACAAGAATAAATTACATTTTACAATATATTTAAATAGAAAACAGAGTAGGATAAGAGCTTAAATGGAAGGTAGGTTACCAGCAAATCTATATTAAAAAAAAACTTATTTCAGTTAAAATTAGTTTGACTTAGAACCATTATTTATTTAATATTAGTATAATTATAATCAGAGGCTTTATACAAAATATTCACTGTTTTTTTTATTGAGATTCAGAAAAAATGCAGCTTATGGCCACAGTTGATTGAGATTAATCGTGAAAGCTTGACCTTTGACAGACATGGCTTTTCGAGATTTTACCCATCCTGCTTCATAAGATGTTGCTAATCATACAGCTATTAGTGTGTGTTCTGTAAACAGAAGTGAACTTGGGGAGAGCATGTTCTAGACCGGCTCCCGCAGACCTGTGGCTATCTTTGTCAACTGTCAGTCATTCTCAGCTCGTGGGTCTGTTTGTCTTGGGCCCGTTCATGTGCTGCTTTGGCAGTGTGTGGTAAATCTGGATCTTACGAGGCTCAGTGCCGACAACACTCTGTTGTGTTCCCCTAAACCCTTAACCACACCGCCCACCCGTGTTCTCTGAAAGATTTTGTAGTCCCATGGAGCAGGACATCTACAAGTCAATGACCTCAATCAATCACTGTTTCAGGCCAAAGTCAATGTCACGGATAAGCTCTAAAGCAAGGAGGAGAGAGCTTGAATGAATTTCAAAGTCATTTGGAAGTAAAGGGATCTGCTGGTATGTAAAGATCTGGCACCTTTGTGCTTACAGGCCTCTGTAAACAGCTCTGGTGGGCTAAAATGTAGCAGGTCAAAGGACAACGCAGCAGGAGATGTTGATTCATTTCTACCGCTTTAGCTGTGTTAAGCTAATTAGAAGTAAAGAAGTGTACATCTGACTTTACAAATCTCAAACGTTTATCCCTCTGTACATTTTTGGTGTTAGCTAACTCGTGATTTTCTTTACATAGAGATCCAATTCAGTGTAGAAGTATCATCGCAGCTCTGATGAATGTGTGGATACCAAGAAGCACATGGTTGAAACTGAGACAGAACAGAGGTGTGTGTGCCACGGTAAGTTCATTTCTTTCTCGCTCACTCTGTCAATCTTCGCCTGCTGCTGTATTTTTCCAAACCCACACAGAAAGACTGAAAAAGCACAAATAAGAGAAACAGACACAAAATGGCATGCTAGTTTTACTTAATTAGTATTGTGTTTAGGACACCAAACATCTCCAAAATAAGACTGAAATTTTTATGTTTTTCAAGAGGTACATGGTGTGTCACTTGCTGAGCCTGTCCTAACATCTGATTCTCAAACCCAATCCACTTCATTTGTGTCCACAAGAAGAATTGCATGACATATGAGACTACCGCAATACATATTGCAGGAAAAGGAAACAGAAACCTCTGTTTTGGAGAGACCTCTGTCAGTGGACAGTCATAAATCTCACATCCTCTCACTATGTGACCAGTTGTGTCACAATTACTACCTGTTACTCAGAGTAAACCTGCCTATTTCAGTTCGGATGCCAGTGTGATTTTAAAGTATTCTATCTATCTATCTATCTATCTATCTATCTATCTATCTATCTATCTATCTATCTATCTATCTATCTATCTATCTGTATGTATGTATATATTATTATTTAAATTATATTTAATATTATATATAATAATACAAAATATCTATCTATATGTATGTATTATTATCTAAATTATATTCAATATTACATATAATATAATACAATACAAAATATCTATCTATCTATATGTATGTATGTATTATTATTTAAATTATATTTAATATAATATAAAACAAAATATCTGTCTGTCTATCCATCTATCTATCCTCCTGAGAACCAGAAATAAAAAGCTTTGTGAATTTAGTATTTTTTCATGTCATTACATTGTTTAGAGCATAAAAAAATATATATATATATTTTTGAAAAATTATATTTTATTCATAAGTTATGCTATGTCCTTACATTTATAACATTTGTGGTATTATTATTATTGTTATGGTTACTATTATCACTGCACATAATTTACATAATGTTTTGTCTGTTATGCATAAATCACAGGTTACTAGCATCAAACAACTGAAATAAGCAATGCAGATATACTGTATATAGTTTGGTTTGATTTATGCAGAACAGACTAGCACACAAACTATGTGCAGGTTAGCCTACAAATCATTGTCATTCCGCCGATGCTATATCGGAGGGAGGCATGGTTAGGATGTCTCTCTTAAAACGTCCTATACATTCACATACCCACACAATGCTCTGTATTTTAGCTAAACATAGCGTACAGTTGCCACCTATTAAAATTCCACCGCCTAACTTACAAGTCTTCAAAGCGTGAGGAGCTAATGAAACAGAGCGCTCCGTGGAAGGGAAGCTGTTTCTCATTACAACGATAAAGAGAGAACAGAGGTGCTAAGAGGAAGAGTGTGAAAATAATGAGTGTCTGAGGGACACCTGTCATCTGTCTCGTTTATCAGGAATGAAGACAGGCCAGATACTGACATAATCGACAGTCTGCTTTCAAGCATTAAAGAATCACAGTGTGATTTAAGACTCAGAGCTTTGAGATGAAGAAATGTCTCTCATTACTGAGTGATAATGTCTTGTAATACAGTTCAGCGGATCCACTTCAGATTAGTACAGCTTTGCCGGTTTTCCGATCCGTCCGTTTGATTAAGAAATTGATGCTATTGTAATTTTGGTAGGCATCATGAGCTTTGACATGAGGTTTGCTGCAACTATACTCGCAGATTCTGTATATCATTCAATCAAGGTGTTTTTTATGAGGTAAGATTAGTCTAAAATAATAGGCTCCCTTCTGATATATTTGTAAAGTCAAAATGTTCCGATACCTCACTATTAGCAAAGTTGCCGTGGATAACATTTCCCACAACGTAAACAAAAAAATGTGTTTATCCCTGGGCTGCATGTGAAGATGTCCTTCAGACGTGACAGTAATGTGAGTGCAATGTCAGACCCCCTGCTGAACTCTGAGGTCAAAGAACCCATTCTGTCTTCTTCTGGTATAAACAAACTCTTTCTCAATGTTTTGTACTAAACACTTTTCAGTTGAATAAGCTAAAATGCCCTTCTATTTTGCACTCTGCACCTAGTATCAGTTCATCATGGCATTGCATATCTAGATTTATAATCATAACTGTGTATGTGTGTGGTCCTACTGTATATCCTTTTATTGACTCATTTGATGGTAACATGTGAGTGCTTTAGGTAACAGGATGGACCTCATGATCAGCACCTCGACCACCTACAGACCCCCTCCCCTCCCCTTCGGCAATGTCTTTTCCTCCCCCTTTTTCACAGAGTTAATAAGAAGGGAACCCAGAGACAGAGAGACTCAGAGTCGAAAGACACTCATCCAGCCCTGCAATGCCCAGTAGTACCCCAAGCACCAACGGAATCATGCCTGAAGTAAAGAAAGCAGGTAAGGGCTGCTCTCATTGCCTCACCTTTATCAGTTCATTATCAGCAGAACAGGCTCACCTGTGTGCCAGGACGCATTCATTGTTGCTAAGATCTGTAACTTGCTACCAATGCATCATTGGATGTTGCTTTATATTTTTAATAATCTGGCACTGACAAATAAATAAGTAAAACTTCAGCATCTTTTAAAACAGTTATTATGCATTTGTAACTTTTGCAAAGATATACAAGGAAGGCGATACAATTGGCAGAGAAAACTGACATCGTAAGAATAATAAAATAAAAATAAAATAGTACATGGAAATAATAAAAAAAAGGAAATGCAAAATAAAACATAATACATAGAAAAATAGCAAATCTATGTAAAGGGGAAACATTTAGTTGTCTGATGAAAAGCCCTAGAGAGCAAAGTCTGTGGTTATGGTATTATTATATTTATTTAAAATAAGTCATATAAATGACAAGGTAAAATGGACATTAAAACAACTTCATTTTACAATTTAAATTTTTTAAGAAATATCTTTTATTTATTTATTTTATTAAAAAATATTATTATTATATTTTCTAAACATTTTATTGAATTTTATTTTTATAAATATTTTGTTGTATGTATAAATATTTATATTTATATTTTTTATAAATAGTTTATATAATAGTTTTTCTCATTGTCATCTTGGTATATCGCAAAATTTAAAAAAAATAGCAGCAATAGTAGATATGAATGCATGCTGCTTGTGGTACTGAAACAGACTGACGTGTACAATTTGAAAACAAAGGAAAATATTGTGTGTGTGTGTGTGTGTGTGTCTACAATATAAGAAATAATTAATCTCATGGTATGCACCTGGTGATGCAACCAGACATCTTTCTAGACACTTTAGACTCAGTCTACGTGCTTAAGACCTGCAGTATTTACAGTGCTGGTGACAGTACACAAACTAAAAGTCTCACCACAATGCTGACTTGATGGAGGGTTATTCTGACAGTTTGTGTAAGTTGCATATTCTCTGACACAGCCCAGATCAAAGGTACACAGGAAAGACTAATGGGCGACATCATGAGAAGAGGGCACCTTGAACATTATTGTCATACTATTACTCTCCAGGCTCTTGTGCACAGCTTAACATCACACAGGAAAATAATAATAGTCTTTACAGTGACAAAGAGTTTAGCAGCTGCTCTACTCAATCTATTGACAACAAATTATTATAAGAGGAGGGATGGCCATACAAGACCTTGTACACTCCCTCGAGCCTGCATATATTTTAAGGTAAGCATGTTGTCAAAAATCCTCTAGACTTACATACTATTTTAAGTACTTTAAAGAGGTCAAATGCAAACATATGTACACATAGGGAAGGCGTTATAGCTGTGCTTTACTCAGCATTTATATTTACTAGAAATGTATATTGTGTATGCCCATCACTACAAGTAAATCATTGCATATTTTAAAATGTTTCCAAATTCAATATCACACAGTAAGATTGATATACAAGTGAAATGACCAGCATTCATCAGATGAATCTTCTTTCAGGTGTTAATATAGTTGCATGGTACCTCTTTCACCCCTCTACTTTCACATGTCGCCCTCATCTGTCATCTCAACAACTCTCTCTGCTTCTCTCTCACTCTTGCTCTCAATTTCATTTCAATTTTAGTTGTTTTTCAATTTGAACATTTGTAATATTCATGTAAATTAAAACAATAGCCTATAGCAATAATATAATATAATATAATATGTTAGGGCTGGGTTAAAAAAGATCGATATCTCGATTATGATCGATTCTCATTTTTACGAAACGATATCGATTCTTAAATCCCAAGAATCGATTAGTCTAGAGCAGTGGTTCCCAAACCTGTCCTGGAGGCCCCCTGCCCTGCACCTTTTGTATGTCTCCCTTATCTAACACACCTGATTCCACTCATCAGCTCGTTAGTAGAGACCGCAAGAACTAAATTGGGTGTGTCTGATGAGGGAGACATACAAAATGTGCAGGGCAGGGGGTCCTCCAGGACAGGTTTGGGAACCACTGCTCTAGACTAATCGATTCTTGGGATTTAAGAATCGATATCGTTTCGTAAAAATGAGAATCGATCATAATCGAGATATCGATCTTTTTTAACCCAGCCCTAACATATTATATTATATTATATTATTGCTATAGGCTATTGTTTTAATTTACATGAATATTACAAATGTTCAAATTGAAAAACAACTAAAATTGAAATGAAATTGAGAGCAAGAGTGAGAGAGAAGCAGAGAGAGTTGTTGAGATGACAGATGAGGGCGACATGTGAAAGTAGAGGGGTGAAAGAGGTACCATGCAACTATATTAACACCTGAAAGAAGATTCATCTGATGAATGCTGGTCATTTCAATTGTATATCAATCTTACTGTGTGATATTGAATTTGGAAACATTTTAAAATATGCAACGATTTACTTGTAGTGATGGGCATACGCAATATACATTTCTAGTAAATATAAATGCTGAGTAAAGCACAGCTATAACGCCTTCCATATGTGTACATATGTTTGCATTTGACCTCTTTAAAGTACTTAAAATAGTATGTAAGTCTAGAGGATTTTTGACAACATGCTTACCTTAAAATATATGCAGGCTCGAGGGAGTGTACAAGGTCTTGTATGGCCATCCCTCCTCTTATAATAATTTGTTGTCAATAGATTGAGTAGAGCAGCTGCTAAACTCTTTGTCACTGTAAAGACTATTATTATTTTCCTGTGTGATGTTAAGCTGTGCACAAGAGCCTGGAGAGTAATAGTATGACAATAATGTTCAAGGTGCCCTCTTCTCATGATGTCGCCCATTAGCATACAAAAGGTGCAGGGCAGGGGGCCTCCAGGACAGGTTTGGGAACCACTGGTCTAGAGTGTTTTCAGTTAATGGATGGCATATTGAAGGGCACCTCCCATCCAATAATTCGCAATTATTTGCAAGCATTGTGCTTTGATTCTTTTAATATGAAACAAAGTCTCAGATTTCAAACTATGATCATTGTCTTGTAGTATTCAAACAATAAATGCCATTGTGGCGCTGTTAATGTGGAGTGAACGCTGTAATAACTCTATCAGTGTTTCAGCCGCGCAAGGACGTCAATATAACGGCTTGTAAACAATGCCACGTAACGTCACATTTACCTCAGAAAAACATATTCGGTGACAATAAACTCATAGTCAGATAGAAAAATAAACTGTAGAGAGGAGCATTTTGCTAAATATATGCACCATTTAATATATTCATTATAACTTACTTTTCTTCAATGTTTAATTTTTTTTTTATGGCAGCCACCATTTAAATGTTTATATTTAAGAAACGAATTGAAGTAGAAATATTATTATGTAATTGTAACTTTTATTATAAAAATGTAAGCAGTTGTATAGCCTAAAAAATCAGTCAGTTTTAACATTCAATATTTTAGTGATGTAGTGCCAACTGACTCTCATGTATATTTTACAGCATTAGTTAAGAGATTTTTTTTCCTTGGGAAAATTTAGCATGTGTGCCAGATCGAATCGAATCGCAAGCTTGTGAATGAGAATCGAATCGAATGGAATCATGAAATTTGTGTCAAAACCCAGCCCTAATATATGTTTTTTCTCCTTGTTAGGACCCTATTGCACCTCATTAAAAGATGAAAAGAATCCCCTACTGGTTTCTTATTAACTTATCAATGATGACATGCTGCTGCCTTGATCACAGGGGTAATGACACTGTACACTGTAACTCACACACACACACTGTAACTCATCTCCACAGCTCAACAATCCTTGTTTTATTTATGCCTTCTGAGATTTAGCCAAGTTGGGTCTGACTTACTGGGCATGGCAGTGTCTGGCAAGATTAGCATGGTGCACTGTGAGTGCGTAATTCTCAGCAATCTAAGTCAGCACGGAAACCAACTCAATCACTGTTAAGAGAGATCCAATCTAACCAATATCTGAGAACGTCTCTTATCCGAGCGGGTTGAATGTCTTTCCCAAGACTGTGACGGGTCACACCTCTGAAATCTCCCTTTACAGACATGAATCCCTCTATTTGTGCATCTGTCTGTTCATGTCATTTTCCATCGGACCTGTTTCAAGTAAGCAAGCAATAGAGGGCCGACACTCAGCATGTGGTTTTCAACACTTGGGGGGCCACAAGATCATATCCATCGCCTTCCCTTTCAAATCATCATGCCTAGCGTGTCCTTGTTCCAGCCACCAAATATGAACCACACCAGCTCGCCCGTAGCATGGCAGGGGTTGGCAAGGCACGCTACGGACGTGTCCAACACAAACAGCTTGCTTTCTGCACTATCATCACGAGCGAAAGACACCAAAGCCCAGCAATGACCCTGACATCATCTACATAACTGCTCATGCTAAAAAGAGGTGAAGTTCAAAGTCACTCAACAGCAGATGGTTGTTCCAGTTGATGTGCTGCCACTTTTATTGAAAAGATGACAATATTTATGCCTGGTTTCACAGACAGGGCTCAGACTAAGCCAGGATTAGGCCATAGTTCAATTAGGTTTTGAGAGGTGGTAATTTTTTATAAACGTGCCTTAGAAAACACATTACTGGTGTGCATCTTGAGACAAAACAAAGGCACTAGTATATTTTAAGATCAGTCAGTGCGAGTTTCTTTTAGTTGAAACAGCTCAGACTTACATTTTAGTCTGGGACTAGGTTTAAGCCTTGTCTGTGAAACTGGGGGTTGATGTTTAGGTTATAAATTATAATTTAGAAACAAAATATAACATGGATTTCCCACAATGCCATGCTCACGGTTTCCACTTGGGTGAATGATCTGACCTTTTCAATCACTTGATTCACTTCAGCCCATAATCACAAAAACAAATTCTGTCAACTCACTGCAAAAATGTTTTTAATAAGTATTTTTTGTCTTATTTTCCATTAAAAATATATTGTTAAAATGTATTTACTTAAGAAGCATATTTTTTTGCATATACATAAGAATGTGAAAGCTACTTATTGTTTTCATACTAATTAAATTATTTGTAAGCATAAACCTCACAAAATGTTGTTAAATTTATGCTCAAAAAAGAAAAATACCCTAATATTTTACACAGTTGTTTAATAAATGTAATATATTTAAAAATTAATTTATCTTGTTTTAAAAGTGTAGGCTCAAGAAAGGTCTGTTAATGTAAAATAATTTTACATATTTATTTGTCATAGCTTTTTCCCTATTTTTTTTTTATTTTTTTATTACGTCTTGCATTGTGTTGTGTTTTAGGATTAAAGAAAATGTCTATAAATTTGACAGATAATGTCCTGACGAAATAATTACCAGTAGCTCTTTTGTTTTTCTACTGATTTTTAAAGTGTGTTCGTTTTTATTATTTGCAGTACTCATCAACCTTCTCATGTCTTCTGAATCCGCCATCAGTCTTTCACCATTATGTGTTGGTCTGGTGAAAGATGTGCGTGAACGAGGCTTTGTGAATGATCCCTTATTGGACATTGGGGATTTTGAAACAAGGCTTTCACCCAGACCCCCTCCATGTACCTCTTGTTTACAGCATTCTTCCAGTCATGCTCATTCTCCAACAAGTCACCACCAGGGTTGAATCTCACACCAGGGAGAAAACCTTGACTTGAAGGGCTGTCAGCATGGCTTCAGGTTGCATGAACACAGACTCCACATCCGACATTTTTAGATCTTTCTGATTTGTTTTATTTTGGAGCTCTGCTTCATGACCATGGCTGTTATGCTCGACCCCTCCCTCCTGTTCTTCCTGACTCCCTTCATACCAGCCCCTATAAGGGAAAGGTCCCGAAGAGAGGGTGAAACAGGCTATGACTGATGGAGTGACCTGTCAGCAGCAGTTGCTAGTCACTAGCCCTGATTTCTTTACCACCTCAGTTCCCTTCGCTCTGTACCATCCATTCCTCTATAACTCCCTCTTTAAGTCCCAAGCATCTGATGGAGTTTATATGTGCACCAGGATTATATCTAAGATTTCACTGCGGAAAGATTAATGACTGCGACATTTACTTTTTTTTTTTTTTTTTTCATTATTTTCCATTTGGATGAGCTTGTATCTCATAATTTCTCGATGGCCTATAAGGGTATAAGGGTTTCCCTGTCGTAATGTGCGGAGAGCATGTGTTTCTCTCAGAAAAAATGATGTTTAGGTTATAAATTATAATTTAGAAACAAAATATAACATGGATTTCCCACAATGCCATGCTCACGGTTTCCACTTGGGTGAATGATCTGACCTTTTCAATCACTTGATTCACTTCAGCCCATAATCACAAAAACAAATTCTGTCAACTCACTGCAAAAATGTTTTTAATAAGTATTTTTTGTCTTATTTTCCATTAAAAATATATTGTTAAAATGTATTTACTTAAGAAGCATATTTTTTTGCATATACATAAGAATGTGAAAGCTACTTATTGTTTTCATACTAATTAAATTATTTGTAAGCATAAACCTCACAAAATGTTGTTAAATTTATGCTCAAAAAAGAAAAATACCCTAATATTTTACACAGTTGTTTAATAAATGTAATATATTTAAAAATTAATTTATCTTGTTTTAAAAGTGTAGGCTCAAGAAAGGTCTGTTAATGTAAAATAATTTTACATATTTATTTGTCATAGCTTTTTCCCTATTTTTTTTTTATTTTTTTATTACGTCTTGCATTGTGTTGTGTTTTAGGATTAAAGAAAATGTCTATAAATTTGACAGATAATGTCCTGACGAAATAATTACCAGTAGCTCTTTTGTTTTTCTACTGATTTTTAAAGTGTGTTCGTTTTTATTATTTGCAGTACTCATCAACCTTCTCATGTCTTCTGAATCCGCCATCAGTCTTTCACCATTATGTGTTGGTCTGGTGAAAGATGTGCGTGAACGAGGCTTTGTGAATGATCCCTTATTGGACATTGGGGATTTTGAAACAAGGCTTTCACCCAGACCCCCTCCATGTACCTCTTGTTTACAGCATTCTTCCAGTCATGCTCATTCTCCAACAAGTCACCACCAGGGTTGAATCTCACACCAGGGAGAAAACCTTGACTTGAAGGGCTGTCAGCATGGCTTCAGGTTGCGTGAACACAGACTCCACATCCGACATTTTTAGATCTTTCTGATTTGTTTTATTTTGGAGCTCTGCTTCATGACCATGGCTGTTATGCTCGACCCCTCCCTCCTGTTCTTCCTGACTCTCTTCATACCAGCCCCTATAAGGGAAAGGTCCCGAAGAGAGGGTGAAACAGGCTATGACTGATGGAGTGACCTGTCAGCAGCAGTTGCTAGTCACTAGCCCTGATTTCTTTACCACCTCAGTTCCCTTCGCTCTGTACCATCCATTCCTCTATAACTCCCTCTTTAAGTCCCAAGCATCTGATGGAGTTTATATGTGCACCAGGATTATATCTAAGATTTCACTGCGGAAAGATTAATGACTGCGACATTTCCTTTTTTTTTTTCTTTTCATTATTTTCCATTTGGATGAGCTTGTATCTCATAATTTCTCGATGGCCTATAAGGGTATAAGGGTTTCCCTGTCGTAATGTGCGGAGAGCATGTGTTTCTCTCAGAAAAAAAGGTACAAAATTGTCACTGAGTTGGTATCCTGAGGTACAAAGGCTAGAAGTTACATTGTTATACCTTAGTTTACCCTAAATGGTACATATTAGTGGTTCAAAAATACATAGTACCCAAAGTGTACATATTAGTACCTTTTGAAAGGGTATCGCTGCAGTGACAGTTTGTGCCACAGTTTGTGACAGTGCATAACACATTAAATAAAGTATTATAGGGATGATGATGTTCTCAGTGATTGTCAGCAAGATCACAAACAGCGCTGGGGGTCTTGAACAGGTGTACAGAAGTCCCCGTCCTATATATGCAGAAACACAGCTGAGCCGATCACTTAGAAGTGACCCATTATAGTGATGTCAGTCACCCCTGTCCCCTCCCACCGCCCAAACCGCGCAGTCAATCGAAAGAGTCTTAAGTCCAAACCGCTTTTACCATCATCGCAGGCTTGCTTAAACGTGACTGAGGAGTTACTGACAGCATGACTTTTTTTTTTGCTGATGGTATCTGATATCACTGAAATGTGAGACAAAATTCTTCATGGAGTAAATTTCAGACTTTTTTTCCAATCAGCTGAAAAAAGAACATTACACTGAAAAAAAAAGACTTTTAATTAAACTTAAAATATCTAAAAAATTAAACAAAAAAATATTTAAAAATACTGAAATAAAATATTGAAAATAAAATAGCTAAAACATGCCTTAAAAATATACTTTAAAATAAGATTTATTTGAGAAGCAACACTGGATAAGATATCAAGATTTAAGGCAAAAATACAAGTGTATAGACTTTCTCAAATTTAAAAAGTATGTCACTGCAATTAAACCAAATAGACTTGTATTTTATCCAAAGATTTCAACATAAAATCTATTTTTGTAGTAAAGATACATTTAAAGATATATATATACATTCTCTGAAAACATATTATGCAGTGTTACTTGTCTAGTAAATTATATTTTTTTTATTTCTAGATATTTAACTGAAAAACAATACAAAACATCGTCTTTATTGAGGAATGCTTCTTGCAGGACTCAAACCAGCAACCTTTCCTTTTCAGCCCTGATATTTAGCCACTACCACACTCTGTTTGCAGGATATCATGTGGATAGTTGTGTTTCATTGTTACAGTGACCTTTTCCCTCTTAGCCACTAATCTGCTGCTGCAATTCACATACAATTCACACTTAAACTGACAAAAATTGCACCAATGCACTTAATGCCACTGATAATTATGATAACCCAAGGGAGCAGCTAATATTACTGTCAACATTAACAAAAGAAGGCAAAAAAAAATGTGTGAGCTGTAATACATGAGCCGGAGGATTGCAGATGACTTTCTCAGAAGGTGCTTGAGATAATCAACAGTAACGAGAAAAGTGTTAAACCTGCATCCCAGTGCTGGACATGAACATGCCAACACCACTAGCACCGTGGAAATGAAGTGCGGCAGAAACAAAAATGTATTCTTGGAAACTGCTGTCAGAGCCTATGATGTGTGTCCATGGTGAATGTAAGTTTAGGCCTAGCATGCTTCTTAGATGTAACCTAAACCCTGACAGGCATGGGTAAACTATATGATTCAGTGCTAACAACGGTGGGGGTAGATGAATGGCATACCACGGGGTGATATATTGCGCACGAGAGGTAAGGAAGGAGGATCAGAAAAGCAATGTAAGGAAAGGGAAGACTCTAGAATGCTTGTGCTGCATCAGTATCATTTCCAAACTGCCTGTGCTTTCACTTAAAATGGTTTGATGGCAACCTCTGATTTTAATTGATGTACATTTTCACGCCTACAGGAAGAAAAGGATCAAGAGCAGAAGCAAATCCTGCAGGTAACTGTAAACTATGCAGTCATGTTTTCACTGTCTTAACTAGAGCATCCCCTTTTGCTACAGCTGCTCTCCAAAACCCCACCCTCCAGAAACATGCAAACCTGCTTATTATTATGATTTTTTTTAAAGTGACACTGTCCAACAGGGACAGTTACATCAGAAGTAAGCGTCTTTTTTGCCTCCCCTGAGCCCACTGAGCATACCGTGGCTGACAGAGAATGAATGGGGAAAATTCATCATGTTTTCACTGTCTTAACTAGAGCATCCCCTTTTGCTACAGCTGCTCTCCAAAACCCCACCCTCCAGAAACATGCAAACCTGCTTATTATTATGATTTTTTTTTAAAGTGACACTGTCCAACAGGGACAGTTACATCAGAAGTAAGCGTCTTTTTTGCCTCCCCTGAGCCCACTGAGCATACCGTGGCTGACAGAGAATGAATGGGGAAAATTCGCTAAGGGGAGGCAGTGCCTCCATTGCGCTATGATCGGCCTATTGCATTGCTCACGCGATATTTTTGTGTGCAACCCGCATCCACAAATTGGTCTGAATAAATAATGGTGTTAATGGGAACGCTGATTACATAACTCTCCCACTTTGATATCACTGCTTTAGGTCACGTAACATTCAAATTTGAAATGACTTGAAAACATAATCTGTGAGGATTTTTTGTTATCAGTCAGTTTGGTGAGTTCAAGTTGCATCTGCAGTGTTTACCAAATACTGATGACTGAAGATTCAAAAATAAGATGATATATATATATATATATATATAAAAAAAGGATAAATGCATGTGAAATATGAAATTTATTGCTGCATTTGTATATATTTCTCAAAGTAAAAATGCTTAAAAAGCACTAACTTAATAAAAAAAACTGTTTAATAAACAGAACAATAATTACATTATGTAAAACTGAAAAGTATAATTGTATGGACCTTTTTCACATTTGCGGGTTTCTCAGCAGCGGAAGTCGCCATAGTTGGGTTAACTTGAAGAGCAGTGAATGGGGGAGTACTACAAATATATTTTTTGCATTCCCATTTGCTCAGATAGCAAAAGAAAAACTCCACGATAGTGTTTTCATGACGTTCAATAAAAGGAAAAAAATTGATAACGGCAGTCAGAAGAGAGAATGATGCCAAATTTACCATCCCTCCCATAGACACTGCGTTAGAAACACCCTCACATTTTTGTAATTTGATGCAAAGGTGATACAATACAAAGAATAGTATTATAAATGTACATACATTTTTTTTTAAATACAAATATGAAAAACTTTGGAGGATTTACGATGCTGATGACCGTTAAACAAAGGGTCCAGTAGTTATTGTTTTCTCAAATGTAATTTTTTAACCTGAAAATGTGTCAGCTGGAACAGGGATTTACATAAATAGATAATAATAAAAACATTTATTACACTATTAAAAACAACCATTACAATAGTATTTTCATGCTTGCATTAACCGTGTTTTTAAGTTATATTTATTCAAACCAAGTATAAATGTAATGTTTAGCATTTTACATTTATTCCAAAATATAAATTTATTAAGAATGAGGTAACCGTTTTCAGATTTTGTGCATATTTTATCTGTGAATTTAACTACTTCTTTTACAACTTGTCACATGATCATTCATTAAAGCTCGGTAAACACTGCAGGTGTCCTGATGATCACGGACACAGAGGTGTAGCTACCTTTAATTTCACCATGTTTTAATGCCCACTAAAACCGCCTCGGATCATTATCAACAAGTCATTTAAGGTTTGGAGAGCATACTGGTCTTATAATAGAACAGACACTTATATTCAGATCAAAATAGCATGTAAATCTGACAATATGGTATGCATGTGTGATCATTACCATGCCTTTTTCAAGGTGAGTGCTGCTGTCTTTACGCCTCACTGTCTTAATAGTGTTAATGGGAGAGGATCATAATACATTGGAAGTCACATGAAGCTTGGGCCTCCATTAGACAGCTGACATTTAAATAGGATTATGCAGTCATGGTATAGAATATAATGACCTCTTGCTCTTTCTTCTTCCTTCCATCACAGAAAAGGCGCCACCATATGACCCCAACATCACTGAACCCAATACTAGAGCTGAGCTGATGAAATGTGCGCAGGAACATTACAGGAATTGTCTTGGTTTTATGCTTTTTATATGTGACCCTGGACCACAAAACCAGTCATAAGGGTCAATTTTTCGAAATTGAGATGTATGCATCATCAGCTGAATAAAACAGCTTTCCATTGATGTATGGTTTGTTAGGATAGGACAATATTTGGCCGAGATACAACTATGTGAAAATCTTGAATCTGAGGGTGCAAAAAAATCTAAATATTGAGAAAATCGCCTTTAAAGTTGTCCAAATGAAGTTCTTAGCAATGCATATCACTAATCAAAAACTAAGTTTTGATATATTTGCGGTAGGAAATTTACAAAATATCTTCATGGAACATGATTTTTACTTTACTCAATAATTTTGACCCATACAATGTATTGTTGGCTATTGCTACAAATATACCCCAGCGACTTGAGACTGGTTTTGTGCTCCAGGGTCACATATAGTTCTATATTATAGTTTAATATGCCCTTGACCTCTGAAATGTTATTTCTCTCTCAGACTGGATAAATCTCTCTCTGGATGACAGAACTGCTCAGAAAATGTTGTGGCTCTCAGAAGGTGGAGCCAAAGTGTCACGTATGTCAGAGGAAGTGTGTCCTGTTCTAGACAGGCCAGAGAGATATGAACATTCACCACAGGTATGTAGTATTTTCATGCTTGCATTAACCGTGTTTTTAAGTTATATTTATTCAAACCAAGTATAAATGTAATGTTTAGCATTTTACATTTATTCCAAAATATAAATTTATTAAGAATGAGGTAACCGTTTTCAGATTTTGTGCATATTTTATCTGTGAATTTAACTACTTCTTTTACAACTTGTCACATGATCATTCATTAAAGCTCGGTAAACACTGCAGGTGTCCTGATGATCACGGACACAGAGGTGTAGCTACCTTTAATTTCACCATGTTTTAATGCCCACTAAAACCGCCTCGGATCATTATCAACAAGTCATTTAAGGTTTGGAGAGCATACTGGTCTTATAATAGAACAGACACTTATGAGTGAGTGCTGCTGTCTTTACGCCTCACTGTCTTAATAGTGTTAATGGGAGAGGATCATAATACATTGGAAGTCACATGAAGCTTGGGCCTCCATTAGACAGCTGACATTTAAATAGGATTATGCAGTCATGGTATAGAATATAATGACCTCTTGCTCTTTCTTCTTCCTTCCATCACAGAAAAGGCGCCACCATATGACCCCAACATCACTGAACCCAATACTAGAGCTGAGCTGATGAAATGTGCGCAGGAACATTACAGGAATTGTCTTGGTTTTATGCTTTTTATATGTGACCCTGGACCACAAAACCAGTCATAAGGGTCAATTTTTCGAAATTGAGATGTATGCATCATCAGCTGAATAAAACAGCTTTCCATTGATGTATGGTTTGTTAGGATAGGACAATATTTGGCCGAGATACAACTATGTGAAAATCTTGAATCTGAGGGTGCAAAAAAATCTAAATATTGAGAAAATCGCCTTTAAAGTTGTCCAAATGAAGTTCTTAGCAATGCATATCACTAATCAAAAACTAAGTTTTGATATATTTGCGGTAGGAAATTTACAAAATATCTTCATGGAACATGATTTTTACTTTACTCAATAATTTTGACCCATACAATGTATTGTTGGCTATTGCTACAAATATACCCCAGCGACTTGAGACTGGTTTTGTGCTCCAGGGTCACATATAGTTCTATATTATAGTTTAATATGCCCTTGACCTCTGAAATGTTATTTCTCTCTCAGACTGGATAAATCTCTCTCTGGATGACAGAACTGCTCAGAAAATGTTGTGGCTCTCAGAAGGTGGAGCCAAAGTGTCACGTATGTCAGAGGAAGTGTGTCCTGTTCTAGACAGGCCAGAGAGATATGAACATTCACCACAGGTATGTAAGTGAGTCTCTGAATCTGTCTCTACTTCTTGTGTGATTTATAAAAATCAATTTTTGAACAGGTCATGTAATTCTTCCATTTAGTATTATCTTCTTATTTATGTTTTTAAGGCTTAGTCATGCAAAAATTTTGCAAAAATGTCATCATTTACTCATCCTCATGTCTTTCCAAAGATTTTTATTCTTTATAACAAATTTTTTTTTTAATTTATTCTCATATTTTGATTGAAAGTTTTTACATCAGTTTTATAGTAACATTTTCAAGCTTCACAAACTGCATAAAGACATCATAAAAACAGTCTAAATAAATCTATATGAGTGAATCCAAGTCCAAATCATTTTATATGATGGAAAGATTTGATTTAGGCATTTATTCACACATAAGCACAGATTAAAAAAAGCATGAATGCCATAATTATGACATGAATTGAAATTATGAAATACTAGGTCATGATTGAGACAAAAAAGAATCAGAGTTATGACAGTCTAAATTAGAATAATAAGACTAAAAGTCATAATTATGACAAAAAATCTCATGTCAATTTGGATCTCATGATTATTATTTAGTGTTTCATTGTTGTCACAATGACCTTTATCTCATAATTTTTGCTTTCTATCTCATAATTATAATTTAGCCTCACAATTTCAGCTTTTTGTGATGTTTTTTAAATGATAATTTTTACTTTTTATTTAATAATTATGACTTTCTATCTCATAATTTCAACCTTTTGTGTCATTACACACATCTCACATTTTTGTCATAATTATGCTTATCTCATGTTTTTCAGCATGAGATTTGTATGTGGCGGAAATGGGCTTTCATAGTTCTATGTATGTGATTGTATTGCTTCATGAAAAAATCATTAGTCTAATATTTCAATGAATCCGCTGATATAGTTCACAAAACCAGTCTGAATGATTAATTCACCCACAAGTTCAACTCAGCATGAGGACAGCTGTGCAGGTTTGAAATGACACGAGGGTGAGTAAATGACAGAATGTAATGCTTAAGACTGTTATGGTCAACATATGGTAACCATGCAACTGCTGCAAGGATAACTTTGACAATATCCTCCTGAAGGTGCATAATTATGACTTTCTATCTCATAATTTCAACCTTTTGTGTCATAACACACATCTCACATTTTTGTCATAATTATAGCTGTGCAGGTTTGAAATGACACGAGGGTGAGTAAATGACAGAATGTAATGCTTAAGACTGTTATGGTCAACGTATGGTAACCATGCAACTGCTGCAAGGATAACTTTGACAATATCCTCCTGAAGGTGCTGTGTAAGGAGGGTCTTCTGGGCAGTCGTGGGTACTGGGAGGTGGACTGCGAGGGCTGGGTGGTGGTTGGGGTGGCATGTGAAAGCGCAGGGCGGAAAGCTAAGGATGGCCCATGTGGGCTGGGAGAGAATGACCTGTCATGGGGTGTGGGCTGGGCTGGATCCTGCTACCACGTCTGGCAGAACGGAGAGAACATCGAATTCCAGGCTCCCCTCTGTCCCACCATCGGCATCTACGCTGACCAGCCAGCTGGCATCATTACGTTTTTCATGGTCGAAGATGGAGAGAACGGCTCAAAGGAGGTCAGACTGATTCATCGGTTTGCAACCAGTTTCAAGGAGAAGCTCTTCCCTGGTTTCTGGGTGGGCAGGAACTCCTACTGCTGGATCCGAAAGCAGGATCAGTCAATGAGATCCAAATCAACATAAATGATACTAAAACTTGCATTCTAAACCTGAATCTGCCTGTAAGTAAGCACTAGGTTGCTGCAAAATGTAGTGTTTTAGTATTTTAACCAGCAACTGAATTGGTGTAGCATTAATCTTTATACTAATTATTTTGAATAGTCACGGTATTCATTTTATATTCCATGTGATGGCAAATACAGATACTGTAGGAAATATTTATCTCTGTAATCTAATAAACTAGTTCAAAATAATAATGATGTGCAATATATGAGTGGTGTGTTGTGTTTTTATTGCTGACATGTCTTTAAAAGCAAGTAAAGGTCTTGGGGGATAATCAAGGGGTCAGTGTTTATCTGGTTAGTGTGACCCAGTTCACAAAGCTTTTCTCTACTGACAGACATTCAAAAGTACTTTTTTTGCAAAATGTTACACCATTGAACAATTCTCTGAGGGCCTTTGAAAGCATCTGTACAGATTTTACTTTCTCAGGCGCAAATAAAGTTTTTATTAATAAATGTAATTATTATTCTTAAAACACTGTATATAAAAGTATACAAAATATACTAATTTAATCAAAAATTCTAAATGAAGTCCTTTTTTATTGCTAGTGAAAGATTTGACACTCTGAGACTGTATAAAAACATAATTTTTTGCATTCATGGCTTGGCTAATACAAACCTGAATGAGATGAATGGAAATGAAATCAAAAGTGGGAATGGGAATACACTTAAGCTGAATCGTTTTGTTGTATAGGCCTAACTGCTTTGAATAAAAGCCTGCTAAATGCATAAAGGAACGCTAAAGGATTGCTTGGAGTAAAAAGCTACAGAAAAACGACACTGCCCTCTGCTGAGCACAGGAAGCATCGACTTTCCTCAGAGAGTTGCTCATATTTCCTTCAGCCGGCTCAATCACACCAAGATAAAACCGCTGAAATTTTAAATGCAAATAAGACACAAAGGGCAACAGAATTCGACAACAAACAACTTGTTTATTCAAAACGCATTTACTTAAACACTGAACAGTTGTGAAATGTTTAAGATGATGAACACATAGCTGGTTGACATCTGTAGTGTTGTAAACCCTCATATTTGATTTTCAAGATTTTCGAGTTTTGAGTTACCATACTAATCAACAATTCGTATTTCTGCATTTGTATCAGTTATCAGCACATTAATTCGTTATAATGCAGAAGCACTTGTCATTTGTGGGTGAAAAGTCCCACACATTTGTGTTTCCGAAACGTTTTGTCCTTTCATTGTATTCATTGCTTTACAAAGCATTGATTTAGAAAGTCTTCAGGACAGTATCTGAAATAAAAGTGAGTGCACACAGGCAGAGCGTGACATTTGCAAGCATTCACATTAACATCTAGTCAGCTTTGGCAATCTTGCCATGGAATATACACTACTGAATTCACATCTGAACACAGCAGTCTATATATCCAAGTACATGTAGTGTCTACTAATGTACAATGCTCCTCCGGTGATGGATGTGCGAGTATCTCAGCATGTAAATAGGCTCATATACTAAATCCCACACTGCAGAGGACAGTCACTGGGTATGATTAGTAACGTAATGATGTACGTTTGCTCTACTAGTGTTACTCAATGAAATGCACTACGTAACTAAAGTCTGCCACAACCATTCGGTCAAAGCCAAAAGAAATTCTCAAATTAAGACATGCGAATCAACCCTCTCCTCCTTCTGCTGCGGACGTGAAGGGCTGGTAAAGGTTTCACCACTTTCAGTGCCATAGAAATACTAATGATATGCGGGAGAAGCTTCAGTTTTGGCAACGTCTTCGCTAAAAACATCCATCAAACTCTCCAGTTCTGTTCAAATCACTTTCGCACACGCTCACACACAAGCTCACGGTTCGCCCACCCTCTCGTTCTCATGCACGCTCAAACATACAAACGCACACATTCGTTCTCTCTCAGTGCTTGAGAGAGAAGTCGCCCGTGTTTAGGCGAGGTCGTGGCAGTGCTCCAAACATCTCCGTTCCGTCTGTGGCTCCAGGGACCAGCAGGGCTTTCATACTGGCAGCTATGTGGTCCAGGTCTGTACAGCCCACCTAAAATAAAAGAGACATTTTAATCAAGCTGAAAACAAGTGTAAAAGTGATTAAATGTGACAAAATAGTAATTAATTGCTATTCTTAAATTTTTCGTATAAAACGGATAGTTCCGGTCCTTGATTCTGATTGGCTGAGCCGCGTTCGAAACTGTTGTAAATTACTCTACAAACATACACTGTTGTTTACATTTGCGAGTTGCAACTTTGTTGCAACCACAACTGATTCTGAAGAACTACATTGTTTGGTGGAAGAATACTGTTTTTATTAATATCATTACACTTTATTTGCTCTGTTTTATTTTGTGAAACCATACTACGTATATGAAATAACCGTTTTATGAAAGCAATAAGCCCCGTGAAGCCGTGGTTTACAGTAAATTTATAACAGCTAAGGGGGGTTTAGGCACTCTGCTTTGCGTCGACAACAACGCCCCTCAGCTGTTATAAATTCACTGTAAAACACAGCTTCACGGGGCTTATTGCTTTATTCTACAAAAACTCATTATATAAGTGGATTTTGTCACAATGGTAGTGAGGGTGTTAATCAGAAAAGACTTGGCAACAAAATCTTGTATCGATAACTGTGTCAATAATGCAGTACGATAATATTGCAGCTATTTATGTTTAGAGTGTAGATTTTCCAAAAAGAAACAGTATAGTTTTAGAGTCATTTTCCAGTGTAAATTACTGGTTGTGGCTCAATCTTTTGAGGTAAAATTATCACAATACATTGAAATATTATCACAGAAATATGTAGCACTCAATATATTTGTTTACTTTGGGGCATTTTTAATCATCATGAACCTTTTATAAATCTTATACTACAGTATACAACATCACAAACTGAGTAAGTACAACTGTTTTAAAAACATTTCACAAACAGTTATTTTAATAATTGTAATAATATTTCACAATATTACTGTTTTTACTATATTTAAATTTTTTAAATGCAGCCTTGAAAAACAAGAGACTTCTTTCAAAAACATTAAAAAAAAAAAAAAAACGTACCAATCCAAAACTTTTTAAAAAGTATGTATTTATATTGACAATCTGTATTTCCTTTGGCCCTTTCCATGGTGTCGCAACACATTAATTATGAAATTGCCTCATCAATGAATGATTTGGTCCAAATGTGTAATCTAGTAGGTGGCATAATTTTGCCATCTACAATTTTACACATCCTTTGTATTAAAAGTGCATACATAATCTGCAAAAAAAATAATTTGAATGAAGCTGTTGTAGGGGGGTATGTGGATGAAGGCATGCATGAAGCGGATGAGTAACTGACCCGTTCTCCACTGTGGGGGTCGCCCTGACGGGCATGGTTGTTCCTGTAGCCCCACACTGGTATAGACATGGGCAGTGAACAAGCCATTGCCATGGGGTTAGAAGAGCGAGACACCAGGTGACCCATGGCCAAGCCACGCGGAGGGGGAGGTGCTTCCTCACTCAGAGAGCCTGGCCGCAATAAAACAGATATAAATACATGAACGACACCAATAAAAACACACTGATGCTACGGTGTCATAATTCAGATAATGATCTCTTTGAACAGTCACTGTGTTTGAAACTGAATTGCTGAATAAGGATTTTAAAAAATAGGGATGCACATTATATTGGTACCATATCGGTTATCAGCTGGTTAGGGGTCAGAAAGATTTTTTTAATGTTTTTGAAAGAAGTATCTTATGCTCACCTTATTTGATAAAAAATACAGTAAAACAACATTAGTTGCGTGTTATAATTCAAAATACCTATATTTTAATATACATGTTAACTGTAATTTATTCCTGTGATGCAAAGCTGATTTTTCAGCAGTCATTACTCTAGTCTTCAGTGTCACATGATCCTTCAAAAATCATTCTAATATGCTGATTTGCTGCTCAAGAAACATTTCTTATCATTATCAATCAAAAACAGCTGTGCTGCCTAACATTTTAAAAACTGTGATACTTTATTTTTTTTATAAATAAGGTTCAAAAGTATTTTGAACAGTGGTGAACTGTATCAGCTGAAATTGGATTTTTATAAATGCTGATTTCCCCATGTTTTTTTTACAATTCAACATCATCTAACAGCCACTTAAACTTATATATATATATCACTTGAATAATATGTTATCTATAAATAACACGTGTTATCTATTTTTCATGCTGCACATTATAATGCTGTGATGCCTAAATGTGAAAAAATAGGCAATAACATTTAAGTAATTTTTGGCATTTACCAGAATTTTAATAATTTATGCTCCACAAAAGAAAGTAGCCCAAGTCATTCAGGTTTGAGTAAATTACTTAATTAAAATTTTTTGGGTGAACTATTCCTTAAAATAGTTTTTTTTTTTTTTGCATTTTTTCTTTTATGAAATAATACTCTAAATAAGAAACTAAAAATGCCAGCGGGTGGCAATAAATGTCTTTATGAGTCATTCATTCGATTCAAATGGCTGATTCATTCAGGAATTAAGTAAACGGCTCTCTCTCTTTATGAATAGGTCTTTGAATCATTGATTCACAAGATTAGTTCAAAACGCGGATTCATTCAGAAACTAAACACAGCTGTGTTGCTCGGAGATTCTGGAAATTCTGCTGTGGCTTTATAGGTAATATTTTTGTTGGCAAAACTGAGCAAATACAGACAATAGTGTTTAAAATATAACTTACTGTATTTACTGTACTGTTGTATAAAAATCACATTTGCATTTGTGATATTCGGGACAAAAACAGCATTTGTGTGATACTGCTCTTGCTGCTCGTGTGATATCTCTTATCATGTGATATAAATATGAGAAACTTTTTTGTCTCATAAGCATTTTTGCCCCAATATCTTGAATTTTGAGGCATAATTGCATTTATGGAGTTGTTGCGCTGCATCATATTTGTCAACAGTCAGCTGTATGAAACATAAGATAATGTACCGGTCTGGGGGCGGGGCCAGTACGTTAACAGCATCAAAATATTTTAATCGCGTAATTTTTTTCATAACTAATTAATTAAGTTAACACATTCAACTGACAGCCCTATTTAAAATATATCAATAAAAAAATAATAACAATAATTCACCATCAGTGCTCTCCTCCTCCCCGTCAGACTCGAAGAAGGGCTCGCAGTCCCGGGACAGAGAATCCTCATCCATTGAAAAGACACCTGAGAAAGAAAGACAGATCCATTCAGTTTGAATTTGAGATCTGCAATGACAAACCCCTTCTTATCTGAAAACAAAAAAATAGGTGCATTTACCTGCCGATTCATTCAGGTTACGTCCCCTCCCATCCAAATCCTCCTCCTCCTCCTCCTCTTCCTCTTCCTCTTCTTCCTCTTCCTCCAAGTCCACAATTTCCGTTCTTTCTCTTGCCTTCTCACGTTCCTCCATCACCGCTTTCTCCCGGTCACGCTCTCCGTTCCCATGCTGACTGCCTGGCTGGCCAATAGCAGCGGCCGAGCTGTAGATCGACGGGTAGCTCTGAGAATAGAGCCTCATGTTGGGACTAACAGTCCCGACTCGATCTCCAGTCAAGCTCTTTAGAAACAGGACACAATAAATCACAAGGCGTTGTACTCAAAAATGCTTAAAAATAAAAAAAACAGCACTCACCAGCCTGTCAGACGGCACAACCACGCCCAGTTTGGCTCCTCCTTGCTCTGCATTCAGACGCGTGTGTCTCTGAGCCGTCAGTACAGTGGTGGAGTGCAGAACTGCAATGTCATCCATGTATCGCAGTGACGACTCCGCTAGGGCCCCCGGTCCCCAAACATGATATGCATAATCAAACTTCTGCACCCGAGTTCCACCCCCTTCGTGATTCCTCGTTCCTTCCACCTCGAGCCCGGAAGGACGGAACTTCTTATAGGCGGTCAGAATGGCCAAATCACAGCCAGACGTCTGACTGTAAGCCTCAGCTGCAGCAAGCAGCACCAGCCAGCTCTCCTTGTGATTATCGGGGATCTCGGGGTTAGAGGATTTGGTGACAGAGGCCATGATGTGTTTATGCAACAACCTATGGCTCTGTTGAACTGTTTTTGGAATTTGTTCTTTTGGAATGTTGAAATGCTGGTGTGTGTGTGTGTGTGTGTGTGTGTGTGTGTCTGTGTTTATGAAATGCGTTTTGTGGTTAGCACTCTTTGGTAATGAGAACTTGGTTTAGTTAATGCTGATGGTACTGTTAGAAGAGGCACAATTGAAATGGGTGACGGTGTCTGCGTGCAGGAGAGAACTAGGGGAGAGATGGGAGGATGCCACAACTTGCTGATGTTACCTAGAAAAGAAAACATAATATGCATAAATATATATCAAGAGCACACTATCGAGCTTATTTAGGCAAAATGAACATGCATTTTGATTTGTGACCCTGGACCACAAAACCAGTCATAAGTAGCAATTGTAGCAATAGCTAACAATACACTGTATGGGTCAAAATTATGCCAAAAATCATAGAGTAAAGTAAAGATCATGTTCCATGAAGATATTTTGTAAATTTCCTACTGTAAATATATCAAAACTTAATTTTAGATTAATAATATGCATTGCTAAGAACTTAATTTGGACAACTTTAAAGGCAATTTTCTCAATATTTCGATTTTTTTTTTTGCACCCTCAGATTCCAGATTTTCAAATAGCTGTATCTCGACCAAATATTGTCCTAACAAACCATACATCAATGGAAAGCTTATTTAATCAGCTTTGATGTTGATGTATAAAACTCAATTTAAAAAAATTGACCTCATGACTGGTTTTGTAGTCCAGGGTCACATTTGGAACTGTAGAACAGCTTAAAAACTAGTTTGTTTGGGTAATCAACAAGCTCATCAACTACTGCAACAAACCCCCCACTCACTTTGAGGAGTAAGTTACGCCTCCATTTCCCCGCACGTGTAGCACACGTACACGTTTGTTTGGGACGTTCTCGTTCAAATGAGGACTAGGCTTTGTCAAACGGTAAAAATCATTTTCAAGGCCTGTTGTGCAGTTGCATGCAGCAGATCTGTCCGTTTCTCGCATTTTCGGGACAACATGAAGAACAACCAGCCATGATTTCTGCTGCTTTTGTTTGTTTGTTTGTCACTGTCAGCTTTAATATGCAGTTGGCAAAATCAGCGGCTAAACAGCGTGATATTTGCATTACGACATTAACTGCTTTAGAGCTTGTTGATCAGTTCATTAGTGAGTGACCAAGTGAAACACACAGGCCAGTGCGCTGCAGCGTTAGCAATGCAGCTAAAATCTATTTCATCTTTTTGCACAATTAAAACTGCATCGGGATGATTCGAGAAAAGAAAGGCAAGTGACTGACTTACCCTCGTTATATCCTCCCGCCTCTGTCACAATCGTCCTTTACTTCCAAACTTTATTAAACCCTCTTTGTTAGGAGCCTGTTACCCGTGCCTGTCTCTCCCCTAGACTCCAGCGCAGCGACGCGCAGAGCGCTGTTTACAGTAGGAGCAGATCAGGGTTGCCAGATTGCGCAAAAGAAACACGCAAATGGTCTGACAAACAAGCACTAAATAAACTATTTTTTTATGCATTCTCTGTGTGGGTTGATTAAAACACACGCACAAAAAACGTAGATTTACCCAGGGTTTTTATTGTTTTAGATGCCATGGTCCCCAAATATGACCATCCTTGTGCGAGGGACCCCATCCTAAAATATAAAAGGCATCTACTGTATATATTTTCCATACTTCACATATAAAGACCCAATTTATACTGTGAAAAATTAATATTGTAAAACTATTAAAATTTTTATTTTCTTTACATTACTTTAAAATGTTCTACTCACTACTGTACCATTCGGGTACATTTAAATTTGTATTTTTATTGATATATTCAATTTATTTATTTAATCTTATTTCTATTATTTTTTTTTTTTATTGTTTTTTATTGATTAATTTTTTACACTGTTTTTCCACAGACCCCCAACACTCCTTTGCAGCCTTGGGGGTCCATATTAAAAACCTCTGGATTAACCAATACTAAAATGCAGCTAACAGCGATAGTCTTACTCTTACAAAATATGTAATGTGTCCAACCTGCACGATTATAGTAAGGATAAATTAATACGTTTCTCAGCTGTGCACACACACACATTACTTGGTAATGGAAAACACAATTAGGCCTACACACCATGGGGCTGGAAAAGCACATGAAATCCCCAAAAAACGTGGGGACATTCTTGGAATAAGCCCTGTTGGAACAGCCGAAGCCATTACAGCCCCTAAAACCTCTATCTAGAATTCAAGAACTAGACTTATTCATCTGTAAAGGCAAATCTCAAAAACAATATGCGCGAAATAAGCGGACATGGCAACATTGTTGTGGCCGCACGCACCTTGCGCGTACACATTCTCAGAGGTAACGTTCAGAAAGAACAAATATGAGCAGGTGTGACATTGAGGGAAGCTGATAATAAATAATGATGCATAATGATTTACTGGACTTCATGTGCTGCAGGCTAATGTTTTGGTGCACACTAAAAACGGTCACATTTCTCCAGGTGGTTTTCTTGTACTTCCAAGAGTTATAGCTATTTGTACTTTTACATAATAAACAGTTTTGTAAGAGAATTTAAAGAGCAAAATTAAATAAATAAATAAAAAATGGGCATAATTTTACTCACCCCAATGGTGTTTCAGAATTAAAAAAAGCCTCAGTCATCATTGCATATGCAATTCCATGCAATGAAAGTAAATGCTGACTGTCATTCTGGCTCTGGAAAACATCTGTCATTCTGGCTCTGGAAAACGTCTGTCATTCTGGCTCTGGAAAACATCTGTCATTCTGGCTCTGGAAAACATCTGTCATTCTGGCTCTGGAAAACATCTGTCATTCTGGCTCTGGAAAACATCTGTCATTCTGGCTCTGGAAAACATCTGTCATTCTGGCTCTGGAAAACGTCTGTCATTCTGGCTCTGGAAAACATCTGTCATTCTGGGGGAAAAAATCTTAACTTTGTGGGTTTGAAACGACATAAAAATATTAAATTATGACAGAATCTGTGGTGACAGCGGGGAGGACTTTTTTATTTTTTAAACAAAGAATCTATTTTTTGTTTTGTATTACAGATCATTATATTATGTAAAAATCAACAAATATATACTAAGAACATCATACTCATTATCACCATCTTCAAAAAAACATAATAAAGACAACGTCATGCTTTATTAGTTTCTGATTGGCTGCTGCGGAGGTGGGCGGTCCTTCCAGGAAAAACGGAAGTGTGATTGTTTTGGTCAAACAGGAGGAGGAATGGAGGCGAAGCCAGAGAGTCACAAGGTGAGTAGCGATAGTGTTTGTCAGTAACCTTACGTTTACATTGACGATAACATTTCTGACATGACATCACACAAAGTTATACATGCATATGTATATTTTTACGTATTTAATGTCTCAGGAAAAGACCGTTTTCCATAGCCGCTGAAGCTAGTTAGCGATAGCCCAGGCTGGTGACTGACATGTCGTTCAAGCCTGATGGTTTAGTCACTGTCATGTCTCTGTGATGGACTGGTGTTTCAAATACCTCTGTCACCCGTTGGGTAACACCTTCAGCAAGGAGGTCTTTATTGAACGGCTTCACTTGTCAAACCAGTTAACTGGAGAGCTTTGGTCATAACGTAATGAAGTGTTATAGATTGTAGAAGATTATATAGCAGCTAGATTGACATTACCGCGTCCTCCATGTGATTATCAGTTGCAAATCTAACTTCTGAAAGTCATTATTTGTAAACAGCTGAATTATTAATCTATTGTGGTATATCAGGAATTGTCCACTATAGTATTACAGCTACAATTTTTTTTTATTGTTGGGTTATTAGAAAAAAACAAACATTTAATGTATTATATCTATTTAATGCTGAAGGGTAATCGTTATATATTGGCATCTTGTTTCAAATTATTCCTCTGTAGTGTTGTTGACATTTGGCCCTGTTGTAAAAGTGTGATATATTATGTCATTCATCAGCTGATCTTTGAGAAGGAGGGTGTTTACCTCCACACCAATGCCAAAAGAAGCAATCAGGACACAACCATCCCTGGCTTCATCCGGATAGTTGAGCGGGTATGATCAACAGACTGTATCAGGATTAACACATTTTATTATTAAGCACTTTGATGTGCTAATATATTATTAATGAGGTTATGTGTTAGTAAATAATTGTTCTGTCTATTAACACCGTTTACAAAATAAACTCTTTCAGGATGGAGAGCCGGCACTGGAGTGGAGCCCTGTTGAGGAGGATGTGAGAAATGCTCCTGCTGTCTTCTACGCCAAAAAGGTTGGTATGAGAACGACTTGAACACTCAGTTTGCTCTTCAAAGTTCAAAGGTCACTTGTCACATGTTCATTTAAAATCTATATTGAAATTAACATGCTCAAAGGAAAAAAAAACTTGTTTTGGGAAATTTGTAAATTGTGATTTGCAAAGTTGTGGAAATAAAGGTCATTGAAAATGTATAGAAATGAAAACGTTGTGTCCTACTAAAGATATTTACACACATACAATAAAACCATACATCTCTATAAAAAATACTTTGGCAAGTCATGACCTGCCCAATTCAATCTGAGCAGCTAAGTCCTTAGCCATCTTCAAGAAACGGCTAAAATCACACCTCTTTCATCTACACATGACCATTCAACACTAGCACTCTCTATTCTATTTCTATTGTATCCACTTGTTTTTTTATTTATTTATTAAAAACACCTGACCCTCTAACACTTGCACTCTCTATTCTTTTTTTTATTCTAACTACTTGTTTTCTTCTTATTTAAAAAAAATAGTTTGACCCTCTAAAACAGTGGTCACCAACCTTTTTAGGCCCAAAATCCCTGACCTCTGCCTTTATGAAAGACAAGATCGACCTATTGAAGAATTGATAGAAAAAGACATCCCAGATTGAACTTCAAATCTGAGGCCTTTTACTTAGTATTTTAATTAGTGATGCGCCGATCATAGCTGATTCAGAATTCAGATTTTCTTTTCTTTCTTTTTTTTTTTTAACTAGCAAACTGAATTCTGATATTGATATTGATTTTTAAGCAAATTGATTTATTGGCTATTTGCTTTATAACAAACAAACTGGCTTTAAACAAAAATATCTAGCCATTTGAAATTAGAGGCAACCACTGCATTTTAATCACGATCTGCACGGGCAGTTGTTTTTGATTTGATTTAGATTAATTTCAGGATTTAAAACAAAAACAGAATGGTCTGTGGCAACACTGCTTATGAACCGACAGCACTATAGCGTTTCCTTGTTTACCGCTGTAAACAAAGCAGAGCTGCGCTTTATACGGAGAAGAAAATGCCATTACCATCTAAACTTTTCTCAAGACAGTACCCTTCAGTGATACATTAATATAACCCCATAAATGTAATGCATTTTTGTACTTATTTTACAGTTTTTTTCGGGATCTACTGGGACAGTGATAAAGATCTACCAGCATTCTGTATTCTTTTGCTATTCTTTTGCATTAGCCTAACTGGGACTTGTCATAGCAGTAACATGTTACTGTTCTTTTGTTGGTTTTGTGTGCTTCTATTGTCCTTATTTGTAAGTTGCTTTGGATATATAAATGTAATGTAAATGGTCAAATCTCCGAGAAATGGTTAACATGTACATTAGCATTCAAAAGTTTGGAGTCAGGGAGGTGTTTTTATTAAAGAAATGAATACTCTTTTTTTTTTTTAGACCATAAAAAGATTTATAATGTTTTAAATTTCAAATAAATGTTTTTATATTCATCAAAGCATCCTAAAAAATGTATCACGGAGTCTACAAAAATACTGATAGTTGATCATCAGAATGATTTCTGAAGGATCATGCGACACTGAAGTTTGGAGTAATGACTGGTGAAAATTCAGCTATGCTGTCACATGAATAAATTACATTTTAAAATATATTAAAATAGAATACAGTTGTAATAATATTTTGCAGTATTAGTGTTTACTGTATTTTCGAGCAAATAAATGCAGCCTTGTTGAATGCAAGAACATTAAAAACAAAAAAAAATCTTACCAACTCCCAACTTTTGAATGGTGTCCTGTTTCCTAAACTTCTGTTCCTCTCTTATATTCTGTTTCCTGAAAGGATGGGGAAGAAGGGGAAGAGGAAACTAAGTTTGACCCAGGCTATGAGCCAGACTGGGCCGTCATCAGTACAGTCAAGCAGGAAAGACGGCAAGAGCATCCACCAGTCAGAGAAACAGGTACTGCGCCAAACTGCTGCTTCTCAGATGAAGTGTGCTTGCATTTACATACTCTACATGCTCACGTACGTTTATGTCTTTTGGCAGGTCAGTGGGGCTTCTCCCTGCCCCTTTCAGAGCTGTACTCTCTCCGGAGGGCTCGCTTCTCTCTGGGCAGGAACTTCTTGGTGATGACCACCAGAGGGGGCGATCCTCTCCCTCCCCTGCACTTCCATCGAGGGGGCACTAGAGAGCTGCTAAAAGCCATGCAGCGTTACATCAGACTGGCCCCGTGAGTGGCATGCTAATTGATCTTTTTCAACCAACTCTTTTGCATTTTAGTACCTATATGTGACACATTCTGCTATAAGGTCTCCCATGGATGGTAGGCTCTTCCTGGCATACCCGCATGATTCTGGGGCCCTATCACAGTCGTTTGATGAGCTGCACCTCTTTGATGATACCAGTGCAGATCTAGTGTCTGTAAGTCATATATGTTGTGTTTTAATGTGGTTAAAGCCATAAACAAGGTCCTGTAAACATGCCATGTGATTGGTCATGTCTACAGAGGTTCATTCAGGACCCATACGCGACCACATTTGGGGGCTTCTCCAAAGTGACTAACTTCTTCCGGGGAGCTCTTAGACATCCAGAGTCGCCCCTCGGTAACCGCTCACCACAAGATGCCCATTTCCCACACTCAGCTGATGAGGAGCCAGGCTTTGAGCTCATTACCTGCGTGAGTTATATAGAGTCCTGGCTGTTTGTGTATAAATGCAGATTGTGCATAAATTTAAAACGAGATTGTGTATTCCACCAGGGGGCAGAGCTCGGCCCCAGACCGGAGGTCAAAAGAGGAAAGCCTTTGGATAACTGGGATCAGTTTTTGGATCCAGAGGGCCGTGTCACTGATCCACAGAAGGTCAAGAAGCTGGTGTTTAGAGGGGTTCGTCTAGGTTTCAGTGATATTTTCCTAATCTTGTTTACATGCCACAAACCAATGACGTTACCATTGATTCAAATCTTTCCTGCTTTTTCTAGGGCATTGTTCCATCTCTGCGGAAGGAGGTGTGGAAGTTCTTATTGGGGTTCTACCCGTGGAACACCATAAACAATTTTCAATTTCAACCCTTTTTGTTCCGTTCACCGACGCGGCTCAGCAAAGAAACATGCGCGTGTGTGTGTGTTTTCCTTTGAAAAAGTTTCCCCAGAAATACTTCGCTATTTAATGCATTTTTCCTTACAAATTGTATTATCAGCATAACAATTCGAGTAAATGTGTAAAAGGTATGGCATGAATTTGCCATCCTTCTAGAACAATGTGCATTTATGTTAAAATTGTAACATATTATCAAGTTTAGTTATTCTTATTTCTTTATTGCAAAACGCTAAAACTGGCACCATTTTGGAGAGAAATGGGCTCTCATTTGAACCCATTATCATGGTGTGTGATGCTGAACTATGAGTTTCTAATGGTGTTTGTATTTGCACTGTTCTAAATATTAATATTTTATGTGCAACAACAGCATGCTGTCTCAGTGGCCTTACACATTTTAAATCTATTTTTTCAAACTTTATGATTTAAATGTAGATGATTGTATTGAGAATAACCTTCATCTTTTCTTCAACTGAATACTGTTTCCGTGCTGTTTTGATGTATTTTAAAGAGTTGGCAGTCAAAATTAAAACTGCTTGATGAAAGATACTCTTCATTATTTATGATAAACAAGATAATGTGAATTACAGAATGTACAATGTTTTTAAAATGTATCAATTGCGGTGTACAGCGTTTATTATGAGGGGGTAGAATCCACAGCTCAGTACTCGCTACTCAATACTCATGAGTACTTTTAAATAGGCTACTCTTTTTTTGACAAGTACTTTTACTCTACTCGCACTACATTTTTTGGAAGGTAATGGTACTTTTACTTTTTTCAGTACTCTTTCCACCACTGGACCTAAGCTTAGCACAGTATATGTACTGCTGTCAAAAATGTTGGGGTCAGTGAGATTTTTTTATTAATTTTTTTATAAAACAAGTCTCTTATTCTCACAGAGGCTGCATTTATTTGAACAAAAATGCAGTAAAAACAGTATTATTATGTAATGTTATGACATTTATAATACATGTTTTCTGTGGTAATATATTTTAAAATGTAATTTATTCCTGTGATGGCAAAGCTG